CTGGAGCGATACAGCAGTTTGGAAACATTGGACATTTGGGACATCTTTGACCTCTGCCTCATAGGCAGCAGATTGTGCTGATCCTTCATAAAGAAGGCTGAAGGTTGTCTCTGTCTCTCGGCACACCCACTGTAACTGCTTTGCTTCGCCAGCTGAGACGCCTGCTGGTCTCAGCTGCCACTGGCGTTACATCTCTCTCAGTCTCCCAAGACTGGAAAGTTCTCAGTGGGTCCAAAGGAGGCACTGCACTCAGCTCCCATTTCCACTTCTTGGTGGTAGTGGTCTCCCCTCTCCACCTCTGGGATGGCTCATCTCATTGTAAGCCCAGAAGGATGTGAAAAGGACCTATCCCCTCATTAGGGTACGGCTCACCACCACAAGGATGCCATGATCTTTGCCTGCAAGCTATTGAAGCCCCTTGGTGGCCCAGCAGCACCTCCTTTGCATAGCTTAGCCATTTAGTAGGAAGAACAAGATCCCAGTGAGAGAGGCCATATAATGACAGTTTATTGTGGTGCTACTGACTGCTCTACAGGACCTGACTGGGGGTAGGGGGAGGGGAGGGCAAGGAGGTCAGGTTGAGTCCCAGCCACACTTCTGATGGGTGGGCTGCTTCCTCAACAGGACCCCTGAGCACGGAGTCCTTTCCTGGCCCCTTTCTCCTTCCCGTTCAGTCCCTGGGACACCCCTCTGCCTTCTCTGTGCCTGCTTGAGCCTGGGTCCCAGCTGCCCCTCCCCTCTCCTCCCATGCTGTCTGGCACTTCCTACAGTCAGTCCCCTAGCTTCACAGTCTGGATAAGGGGGTGAACTGAGATCCCGCCTACCTCTGGTGGCCAGATCAACAGGTGACAGACACTCTCCAAGTGTGACTGGCCCATCCTGAGAAGGAAGACCAGAGGGGCCAAGGTAGGAACTTTAAAGATCCTTGTGCAGAAAATCACATGTGCCTGGGCCCAGAAAACTCCAGGACTAGTAACCGTGTCTAATATTGAGGGGCTGTTCAGGTGGCGTTACTTGGGACCTGTGCGGCCTACCTCCCAACACTGACTGGGTGGGCAGTCCTATCTCAGGGTCTTCACACTTGCTGGTCCTTCTGCCTGAACTGTTCTTCCTTTGGGGACTCTATTCCCACACTTGAAAAAAAAAAGATTTAATTGTTTTTTTCAGTGGAGATTTACATAGCAGTTTTGGTTCCCCTTCAGTCATTCCACACACATAGTTGGGTGACATTGGTCATGTTCTGGTGTGCGTGGAAGTGCTTTGTTTAACTCGGTTCCTGCGTCCCTATGGACTCTTCTTTCTTTTGGGGAGTCCTGTGTGGTGCCAGTGGTGAAGGCCTGAGTGCACCCAGCTGTTGACAGAAAGGTCAGAGTTCCAAGCTTACTCAGAGGGGCCTCCGAAGAAAGGCCTAGAGATCCACTTCCTTAAAAATCAGCCCTGGAAAACCGCGGGCATAGTTCCCACTAACCCCTTGTGGCTTCTCCTCAAGTTGGAACTGTCTCCAAGGCAAGCTGGCCTGTTTCCAGGCATACCTTATTGTATTTGCACTTTGCAGATAATTAAAAAAATTTTTTTTAGAAAGAGCTAGGTTTGTGATAACCTTGCATGGAGCAAGTCTATCACACCATTTTTCCCCTAGCACCTGTGCTCATTGAGGTAAGTTTGATCATTCTGGCAACATTGCAAACGTTTTCATAATGCGATTGCACCCTTAAGACTATGGTATATTGTCCTACACATAACTTTCGTAGGAGGCGTGTGGGGCGGGGGGCGGGGCGGGACGAGGACGACAATGACGATGACGCGTGTGACTTGCTTTATTGCGCTGGTTGGACGTAACCCAGCACGTCTCCGAGGTATGCCGGCTTTGGGGCCGCCCATCTCACCCAGGTGTTGGGACCCAGGGATGCGGGCTGGGTATGGGTCAGTAAATAGAGCAGAAGGGCGCCCCCATCTCACCCTGTGCAGTCCACCTCTTGCTCTCCAGTTCTCAGAGGGATGCAGAGCTTCGGAAGAGGATGGGAGGCGGCTCAGTGGGCGGAGCCCTGACTCCGTGGGTGGAGCCTGGCGGGCGTGGCCTTCAGCGCACTGGGCGGAGTCTGGAGGGCCGCGAAGAGGGCGTGGCCTTCACCACCGGGGGGTGGCCTGGCGGCCGGCGGCGGAGGCGGGGCCGGCGGCTACGCAGAACGGAGGGAGTGGGACGGGCCAGAATTTGGGGGGGGCCGGGCGCTGGGATTGGAACAAAGACGGGGGCGGGAACAAAGCTCAGCGGTCCCATAACCCCGGAGGGGAACAAAGGCACCCCAGGCCCAGCAGCCGAACGCGCCAACGTCGCCACCACGTGCTCCTGCCGGGGTTGGGGGTGGGAGTATCGGATGTGGATGGTAGGCAGCGTCCCATATTGCTTCGGGACCCTACCCACCCCTAGCCTGGGCGACCTCTGGGGGTTTCCGTGCACGACCTGCTGCTCCCCAACCCCCCATCCTCCAAGGAGCCCGGGATTGCATTGTGGTGGCTGTTTAGGGGGCCAAGGCCAGCCCCAGCAGCATCTCCAACCTTGGTGCTCTCTCAGACCCTGGTCTTTACATTGGGATCGTTCCACCCCAGGTCCTGTTCCTCGCTAAACAGTGTTCCCCCTCAGTCAGGATTCCTCTTTCCACAGGCGCTAGCCCTTCCGCAAACAGAATTCCACCCATAGAGACCCAGCTTCCATTGTCAGGGAGGGTCCCATCTCCTCTCCCAGAATTCCCCTCCAGAAACACCCACCCACACTGTTTACACTTTCTCCAAACAGGATCCCCGCCCTACACACCCTTAGAATTCCCCACCAACACGATTCCCTCACACAACTTATGTCTACACTCAGATAGTATTACAGATCCTGCCTCCCAGCTCAGACAGGATCCCTTAATACACAGTCCGGCTCCCCAGTCAAGATTATCCCTATGATTGAGGGGCTGGTGCCTCCCAGGAGGACTTAGGGTGAAATATCAAAGTCCGGAGATGGCTGGCTAGGCTTCGTGGAGGGAAACTTTGTGAGGGCTAAATGGGATTTCATGGACTCTGTTTCTTAATCCTGTGGCGGGATGTGTTTATATTTCATTTAAGTAGCTTTCTTCGTTTCTCATATTTAACAATAAAAAGGTTAAAGGCTCTGGACCATAGGTGGCTTTTTGTTTTTGGCGTGTAGTTTAGGGCGTGGGCCGGGGACCGGTTATCAAGATCAATTAGCATAATGGTCCACAACGAGGATTCTACATTCTACTTGGATTAGTAGGGTCTCTAAAGCTTGGGAGCGCCATCTAAGATGCAACGAGCTACTGGTCTCATCCCATCAAAGACTCAAGGAAATAATTAGCCTAAATGATCCCTGGACCAAGATCAGAACCAGACGGTGCCGGACTACCCCCACCACCAGTTCTGAGGGAAATCACAATAGAAGGTCTTGGAAGAATTGGGAGAAAAATAGGGAACAAAACCAACAAACCAGACCAGGTTTACTGGTTGGCTAGAGAATGGTGGAACACTCCAAAGATAGCTTGGAAGCGAATTCACTGTCATAGATCAACTTTTGGCAAAGTATAGTCCTAAAAAGTGAACAATCAAAAGCAAAAAAAAAAACAAACAAAAAAAAGACACTTTCTCCAAGCAGGGATACCATGTGTCAACAAAGTAACTTGAAAAAAAAAAAATGTGAGCAATCACACCAGCAAGGTACCGCTGTACTGTGTGCACTGTTCCCAACAGCCAATCTCACAGAGCAGAA